TGCTGCTGCATTCTGCTACATTCCTTCGCGCGCGGCGTCTCTCTCGCCGCGGTGCGACAGTTCCCTTATTACTGCACCACACCCAAAAACCCCTGTTCGACGCCTACTACTTTCAAGTCTAAGTAAACAAAGTTAGAAACGATTAAAAAAGAAAGAACGAACCTGGATAGTCACAGTTGGCTGATTATCGGCTGCTGTGGAGAAGACCTGAGATTTCTTTGTGGGAATCACAGTGTTACGGGTGATGAGCTTTGTCATGACACCACCAACGGTCTCAATACCGAGGGTGAGTGGGTTCACATCCAAAAGAACAATATCGCCGGTACTCTCTTCGCCACTGATTACTCCAGCTTGTACAGCAGCACCGTAAGCTACAGCTTCATCGGGATTGATACCGCGAGATGGTTCTTTACCGTTAAAGAAGTCCTTGATAAGTTGCTGTACTTTCGGGATACGAGTAGAGCCTCCAACAAGTACGATCTCGTGCACGTCTTCCTTCTTCAGGTCTGAGTCTTCGAGGACTTTTTGGACGGGTTTCAACGTGGCACGGAACAGATCCATGTTCAGCTCTTCGAACTTGGCACGAGTAAGCGATTCCGAGAAGTCTTCACCATCGAAAAGCGACTCCACCTCAACTTTCACCTGATGTTGAGTCGACAGAGCTCGCTTAGCTTTCTCGACTTCACGACGCAACTTCTGTACGGCCCTATTGTCTTTGCGGATATCCTTGCCGGTCTTCTTTTTGTAAATCTTGATAAAGTACTCCATGACACGTTGATCAAAATCTTCTCCTCCAAGATGAGTGTCACCATTCGTTGCCAACACTTCGAAGACACCATTGTCGATAGTCAGCATGGATACATCAAAGGTTCCACCTCCCAGATCGAATACCAGGATATTGCGCTCTCCTGAAATCAGTCAAAACTACTTTTAAGAATTTCGAGAAGCAGTTATTTAGTATTAGACTTTATCAAAGCTTAAACCTCTGTACGGCCGTATTACCTACTTTGCACTGCCTTTTCTGATCGTCTACTAGGTACTCATTCTCATTTATATCTGAAGATCTTACCATTGAACCAGAAAATCGAAGTATTATGAAATCGGCACACTAATTCCCCATATACAATTCATAACGAGCTTATTGTATGCCTACAAAAGATATTCACTGACAGCTCTGCCCATAGCTCGTAGCACATTGAAGAAGCCGCTAAAAGCCATGCAAATTCTTCTTCCTTACCCTATATTCCGAACGAAAACATCTCGCACGTAGTGGAAGTTTATAAGCCGTCTGTTCTTAAGGGACAATCAGTGTAAGAGGTTAGCGAATGTCATCCTAATCTCATTCCTCCGATCACCCTCTCAAAAGCTCTTGCCTTGAAGGTTAAGACTCCCAAAAACACTGGAACGAATTACCACTTTTCTGCCTCGGAAGGAAAAACATTACTTGCAAGGTTCTCTACCCAACATAGAGGCCACCCCAGCTCACAAAGGATGTGAACCTCCCATTCAACGTTCCTACCGTGGGAAAAAATGCCCTGCATAGTGCAGGCAAAGGATGGTCGATAAGTAGCTATTTGACATTGTTATCAAAGAACAAACCTTCTTTCTTGTCAAGACCGTAGGCGATAGCGGCGGCAGTGGGCTCGTTGATAATTCGGACAACATTCAATCCAGCGATCGTTCCTGCGTCCTTTGTTGCTTGACGTTGAGCATCGTTGAAGTAGGCTGGTACGGTAACAACGGCGTGCTTCACTTCCTTGCCGAGATAGGATTCAGCGATTTCCTTCATTTTCGTCAAGACCATGGCGGAAATCTCTTCGGGGGCAAACTGCTTCATTTCCTGGCCCACTTTCAGGGAAACCATCGGCTTGTTGTTCTTGTTGTCCACCTGAATTCATAGCTTCAACTTTCACCATGTTGATTTTCTTCAGTACAAATCACTATCTCTTGGGGCTGAAGGCTGATGAGCGCATGGCGGTGAGCGCCATATATGTAAGCCACGCGGCGAGACAACTATCAAGTACAACTAGCTGAAGCATGGTGAGCAGCAGAGCCAATAAGCTAGGGACGGCCACACACTGTGCCTAAGGTTGCATAACCTACGGGCTTGTAACAGACTCAGAAGAGCATCAAATAGATCTCCGTGAATTTCGATTTATTATTTTATGGACCGCCCACGTCACACAACATTATCACAGCATAAACTTATTCAAATATATGCAACATTTCACTTTGACTTTCACTTTGAATAAACCCATAACGTTTGTTCAACAGCACTTTACTGGTTTTGGAATAGCACTGTCTAAATAAATGGAAAACAGCAAACCTTGAATGGCCAGAGCTTGATGTCGTCCTGCACAGTTTTATCCATGTAATCTCGACCGATCAACCGTTTCGCATCGAAAACGGTATTCTCGGGATTAATGGTAAGCTGATTCTTTGCAGCGTCACCAATCAAACGTTCACCAGAGTCACCGGAGAACGCTACATAGGATGGAGTAATTCGGTTACCTGAAAAACGTAACTAGATTCGTACCATAGTCACTACTTCCTTTTGGAACTAGTTAAAGTGATATGATTGTATGGTTGTAAGTCGATATTCGTGCATAGTAGATGTTATGAGTGTGATTGGGTGGCGATAGCAGCGCCAGTACAGTAGCATCTACTATGCACGAATATCGATTAACAGCCATCGAATCACACTCATTCTTTGGAAGACGATTGGCACTTAAACGACTCGGACTTAAGGAGGTAGACCTGCTTAAACCCGTTCAAAGTCAATTGAATAACTGAATTAGCTCGAATTCATTAGGTATGCGATTCTCCACATTCATTTGCACTACTATTGAAAGCGTTTCTTTTTTCTAAAGACTAGCGCAAGACCGTGCAGGTCAATCAATAGTCGCCAGTACAGCCGAGGGAAAGGAGGACATCTAGGAAGACCCATTTGAAGTGAAATGTTAATCACCCTTTCTGCTCTCGAAGAACTGGTAATATTAACAAAACTGCCCCATAAAATTCGTTCGGCTACTCCTTCTAGTTTTCGAAAGCACACTTGGAAAAAGTACGAGAAACCTGCCCATTAACCCAAAACCATCAAACCTTGCAGCAAATTTTATATAACTATTTTAAATTTTTGGCAAAACTTCTAGAAGCTGAGCAGCTTTAACAAGGGTCCCCCCATCGTTGAAGAAATTGAAATGTGGTGTAATACGCTTACCTTGGTCGTTAGCGATGATTTCAACTCGTCCATTTTTGTAAACACCTACACATGAGTAAGTAGTACCGAGATCGATACCTATGATAGTTCCGTATTTAACATCCTGAAAAGTTACTTTTTAGAAAGAAACATAAACCAAAAGTTAAGTTAGGAGCTTAACAACCCACTTTTTTATCTTCCTCTGAAAACACTCCAATTGAGTAAAGGAATAGAAATCCTAATAAGAATACCGTCTTCATGGTTTTTCTATCGAAGTTTGATGACGGGAAACCCTGAAGGAAAGAGATGGACACTGACAAACACGCTTACAAACGAAATAAGTAAGAGTACAGATGCGGGAGCAACTGTCAAGGGGAAATTTGAGGAGGAATCGATAGAAACCATGATGAAAGGAGGGGAAAAACATGAGTTAGGAAGGGTAAAAGGTAAATTGGGAATAGACCGTCGGTGATGGCGAAAGATGGACCCAATGATGTCCAACCTGTACCCCGCCCCAACGTTGCACGTTCCTGGTCCACGTGTAATAGCAATGTGTCACGGTCATCTTGGCGGGTGCTCCCTTGACGGAGTGCCTGCACTGTCTGGCGCCTGACCATCGGCCAGGGTAGAGACGCAGAGTGCCGCGTCATGTTAGCAGTTCGAAATAGTTGTTAAGTATGTCGGAACTCTAGTAAAAGCTAGCCTTACACACTATCGATCTCGTTGGTTATTTCAAAATATCAATAGCCCTACTTAAAAGGAAAACATGCTGGAAAAGACTCCTGGAGAAAGGGTTTTGACCGTCTGTGAATCAGAGTTCGATATGACCTCGGGGACATGTTTCGCGAATGTTCTCTGATGACCAGTGCCAGGCATTAGGAGTCGGATGTATGCGCTACTTTTTAGTTGTGTGTTGACAGCGAGCGCTGCTGTTTTTCCTAAAAGGGACACGGCCAAAAATCGATTTGTGCATAAGCAGTAATTTAAAAGTAGGAAGGGGCAGAAACTTGGGGTTTGAGGGGCCGTAAATGTTAATGGTATACTATTCATAATCTTCAAAGGGTCCGTTGGATGTAGTTGTTCCTTCGATGCGAGCGAGAACCATCTGAATTTGCTTCCTTTGTCGATCAGTCTGCATCGTGGCGAACTGTTGCATTCACGTGAAAATCATTGATGGCTTAGTTGCCATTACTAATAATGATAAAAAAAAGTAACTCTAACGTTGGACGTTGTTTGTTCAGGTCTTTCCCATTAGCCGGGGTGACGATGGCTCAGTGGCGAGACGTGACGTCACCGTAGCGTGATGAGTGGATCGAGCTCTTCCCTGTAGAGCATTCAGCATTGTTAAGGCGACTAAACTGTAGTCAAGCTGCCTGAATGAGTAGTAGGATTTAAAGCCCTGCTTAAGGAAATGCTCCATTTAGTAGGTAGTAAATGCGGGTTTCAATAAACTTCCGGTTCACATGGAAGTCAGAGACACGGCTCACCTTCGAAGAGCATGGCAATGAGATATACCCCCGTTTTCACGTCCCACCGCTATTCAGTATATCCATTAAAAGCCAAAGACTGTAGCTGACATGACGGTTGTGACAATAAATAGTTTTCAGGCAACAGGACCACTTAATTTAGAAGGTATCCCTGGAAATATTCTAAAATTCATCAATAAATATTTGCATTTATACTGTGATAAGCAGCACTTCAGTTGCCTTTCTATGGTAGTTGAATTTCGTTTTGTTCCCGAATGAGTACACATCAAGACATGCTTTTCATCGGAGTTCGAAAATTATTGTATTCTAGTAGTCGGAGGTCATCCTTCCTTCATCTGGTAGCCTACTTTCTAGTATTGGCTGAACAAGTAGTTTGATTTATCCCCCTAGAAAATTGCGCTTTCGGTTTAGGGAAAGAGTTGCCATCGTCCTAAACCATTGATCGATAAGTCAGGAGACCCTATGAACTCTAACTCCATAGACGGAACACACGTCAGCCTAAATGTGACCGAAAGCCGAAAGCATGGCGCGCTCCAGACTCACTGGTGATGGTTTCCCATTCAGGAAGAATAAATTATGCGTGCCGCGTATTTACAGCCATGCCATTAGTCGTTACGTTTGAAAGGGTGAAATTGTCCCTTTCGCTTCACGACCTCATCAAAGTGGTCCGTGGTTGTGAACGGTGGGTGGCAAGGCAGTGGCCACCCACTTCCGTCGCCCTCTCACCAGGCACCTGTCTGTCAACGGCTGTTGCCCAAATTGGCTTAGGAACAGGCACACATGCTAATCCCTAAGTCATCAGGCTTTCAAATGATGTGTGCATCGAATCAGAACATGGGCGACAAATCTAATTATGTCATCAGAGTTATGGGTGTACCCACATAATAAGAACATTGATTCACGCTTCACTTGTTATTCATTTCAGTCTTACTAGTATGAAATCACTTGTAAATTTTACAACCTACATTTTACAACTGTATTCTCGAAGAATTAGAAGTATTGGCATGGCTTAGGCAGGTGGCCCGCCCGGAATTCCTTATGCGTGGATCGAATCCTGTATCAGGTCACAAATATGAATTCCACCCATCCGAATTAGTTAAGTGGCTCTAAACTGATTTGTGGATAAGAATGCCATTTATTTTTAGACTGGGTTTCCCTATCAATTAGTTATTAAACTTGACTCTACTGTTAGTTCTTTTGTTCCTGAATCTTTTACTTGCTGCTGCATTCTGCCACATTCCTTCGCGCGCGACTTCTCTCCCGCCGCGAATCGACAATTTCGTTCCTACTGCTCCACCCCGTTCATCCTACCGCTTCCTGTCAACTGAATTGTTATATCATCAGAGTTGTGTTCAGCATCTTTCGGATTCTAGAAACAGTCCCTGTACTTGGCCCATCCCTATTAATCGATCAATACTGGGACTTTTGACTTTGCTGTTCGTACGATTTCAAGATATCACGACCTATTACTAGTAAACATTGAAAGATGTGATGAATGAATGAAGGGCAATTCGGCGAAACCTAATGTTTGCGTAGAACCGATACCCCGTTGAAAACCAAGGTCAAATCCGGTAACCTGATAGTTCGCCCCGATAACCTAGTAACGATGAATCAAGACTTTCCCGTCTGCTGACCACACATACATCATATCTAAATATGACGGGATAGTGCAGCCGGTTATAAGTGGCACTTGTACGACGGGATTTTGAGACCAAATTCGTAAGAGATCAGCCAAGTCCTTTAACCAGGGGCGGATTTATCAGATCTAGAGATAGCTATGAATGGACCGCGTTTTTGAATCCCTTACTGGTATGGAACTGGTCACCAGGAAAGGAAATAAATGCTGACGGGATTATTGAGCCCTGAGGGCTTAATATTCTTTACAGATTCAAACCGCAGTGATGCCAGTTATTAAACTTTCCCTGAATTTGCAGCAGCTCCTAAAACTCAGTAATGGAATCCAACTTTTAGTAACTGCATCGAAGTTCAGTGACAGTATTTTGAAGAGGCAGAGAGAGGCGGGTTTGGTCATAAGGGTGGGACAAAGGTGTACACCGATGGCGAACTGGTTTCTTATTCTTTCAGCAATCTTCTGCAGATGGACGGAGGTAGGGAGCTATCGTAGGATCGCTAGAGATGCAAAGTATCTAGTCCATTTCGTAAAAGACGGGCAGTAA